TAAGACGTTATTTTATAATAAAATCTTTTATTAAGAAGAAATTTTTAAACTTATTATTAACGCTATAATAACTCTCGATATTATCTTTATTTTTCATTATATAATTTAAAGATAAACTCGATATTATAATAATAATAGACTTTTTTCTTTAAAAGATAGAGAGATTAAAATTATAAGAGTATAGTCTATTAGCGATTAACTAGTAAATATAAACTATAAAAGATTTAATATTATTATAAACTTTAATAGTATATTTAATAATAGAATTAATTTCTAAGAAATATTAAAACTTCGAGATATACGAAGTAAATCTATATTCGCTAAATCTCTAAAAATATAAGATATATTATTAAAATTAAATTCTAAAAGAAATCTCTAATATAATATATATAATATCGACGTCTTAACGTAAATAGCGTTAAGGTCTATAATAATATTAAGTTTAATAATTTATAAGATAGATATATACGATATTAAGTTTACGCTAGTAACTCTATAAGTAGTTCTAAGATATCTTATAATAGAAGACTCTTTAAAAGCTCTTCGAGAGCTTTTATTAAAGAAGCTCTTCTCGTAAACTCGATAAATCTTAATTTTTAATATATCTTTACGATTACTTTCTTAAACTTTAATACTTTATATACGCTATATTATTTAAAAGCGTATAATTAACTCTATAATTTTATAGCTTTACTTTTTTATAATATATTAGTTAACGATAAAGATTTAATAGAGTATAAATTTTAAAAATAAAAGTTTAATATTTAGTTTTATAAAATTTTCTCTTTAAAATATTTTATCTTATAAATATATTAAATAGTATTTTAGCTTAAAATAAAGAATTAAGATAAGTTTTAATATAAAATTAAAGAACTCGATTAATCTAATTAGCTATTAATATTTTATTTTCTATAAGTAAAGATCTATAAATTAAATTTATAAAGTTAAATTCTTCTAAGTTAAATCGAATTTTAGCTCTAGCTCTAAGTTAAATCGAACTCTAATCGCTTACTATACGTTTTTAATCTACTTTTACTATTATAAAATTAATTTAATCTATATAATATATAGATATATATATATGAAGAGAGGCGCGCTAAGATTTAATTAGAAAGGTATATCGAGTATAGAGAATTAATTTATAATAATTATCTATAAAAAATAGAGAAAGACTATATTCTTATAATAAGAAGTATCGAAATATCGAAAAGAAATAAAGATAAAATATTAATTAGTGGTATAAATCTCATATTATCTTCTATCGTAGTAAAATCTTTCGAATAATAAAATAGCTATTAGAGTAAGATATCGAATAATTTTAATTCGTTTAAATATATATTATTCGATATTTCTTTTATAGAGATTTAATTAACTATAATCGTCGTAGTAGATTCTTCTCTTATAACGTTATTATAATAATATATTATATTAATATAATAGAGATAATAGATTAAGTTATAATAGTATTCTTCGCTTACTAAGTAATAATTTAATATGAAATCGTAGAGAGTATATAACGTGGGATCTTAAAGAGCTAAGTCGTATTTTTAATAATAATAATCTTATTATCGCTTAGTTTCTCCGTAGTATTCTTCGTATTTACCTATTATAATTTCTTTTTTTACTTCTTTTTTTATAGAGTATTAGATTAAGTAGCTAGCTAAGTAGTTAATTAAATAAATAACTAATATAATATAAGATCTTAAAGAGTTAAGCCGTATTCTTAATGATAATAATCTTATTATTACTTAATTTTTTCGTAATATTCTTTATATTTATCTATTATAGTTTCTTCTCTTACTTCTTCTTTTATAGAATATTAGATTAAGTAATTAGCTAAGTAATTAACTAAGTAAATAATTAATATAATATAGAATCTTAAAGAGCTAAGTCGTATTCTTAATAATAATAATCTTATTATCGCTTAATTTCTCCGTAGTATTCTTCGTATTTATCTATTATAATTTCTTCTCTTACTTCTTCTCTTATAGAGTATTAAATTAAGTAGCTAGCTATATAGCTAATTAAATAAATAACTAAATAACTAGTTAACGATTTAACTAAGTAAATTATTAAGCTAATAGAGTAGATAGTATTAACTAAGCGACTAGTCGAGTATCGCTAACTTAAAAGAAGTATATAAAGAAGAACGATGGCTATAAATCCGTTTCGGGCTCTTTTTAAGCGCCTTCTAACGCGTTTATAAGTAGATAGTATATAGATAATATACGATATAGCTATTTAGTAGCCTAGAGGCGTTAGTAGAGGCTCTAAGAGGCGAGTAAAAGAAGTATATATATCTAAAGCGTTTAGTAATATTTCCGCGAGGGGTATCGAGAATAATTATATTTATATTAATGAAATTAAGAGATTAATAGAGTAATAAAAGAATAATAATTATATAAATAGATGAAAAGATTATTATTCGATTTCGAACGCGTTTAATATAATTTTAATATTTAAATATTAATTTAATTTATTAATAGTAGATTAAACTTTATTATTTTTATAGCGTTAGAAAGTATAAAGTAAGCTTTATAATTTTAGAAATTATAAAGTAACTATATCTATTATAAGCTAAGTATCTTAAAATATAAGATTTCTATATATAAATTTTTAATAAGAAAACGCGAGAGAGCTATTAAACTAATTTAGTCGATTTAATTAAAGAGCGTAATAACTCTAAATTAATAATTAGCTATATATATAAATTTAAGAATTTTAAGCTTAGCTCTATCTTATTCTTTTATATATATTAATATATATTAAGTATTTAAAAAATAAGCTTTTTAATAAATATTATACTTTCGTAAATTTAAGAATTAAAAATATCTTAATTTAAATTAATTTTAATAATTCTTAAAAATAATAATAAATGCTATTTTAATTTAGAAAGTTTTTTTAAAGAGTAAATAAATATAAGAAATAGATTTTAAAGTAATTAAAAGAGATTATTTAAGAACTAATATAAAGTATAAAATAATATAAGATAATATTATATTAATTAATTTTAACTTAATTTTAATAAATTAAAATTTATAGATAGAATAGAAGATAAATTTAGATAATCTATAAGATAAAGTAAGAAAAAGTAAAAGAAAGTAAATATAAGAAAATAATAATAGAGTAGTTAATTTTAATATAATTTTAAGAATTTTTAAATATATATTTTAAAAGTAATATTAAGTTAAGATTTTTTTCTAAAATAAAGAATTCTCGAATATAGAGTTTAGAGAATTAAAAGAAATTGATTTTACGAGTTATTTTTAAACGTAAGATAGATAAGCTTAATATTATTTTAATTAATCTAATATCTAATAAAAAATTCTTAAAAATATAAATAAAATTAAGTTTAAGTTTAAAACTTCTTCTTTAAATTATTTAACTTTAATTTTAATAAATTTTATTATATTTAAATATTATAGAGATAAATCTATTATAATAAATTAAAGAGTTATTATCTTATTATTAAGATTTTAAAGAATTATAAATTATATTTAAAGCTCGAGTATTTTATATTAAATCTTTTAATAACTAATATTAACTTTAAATAAAAGAATCTTTAATATTAGATTTAGAGAATTAAAGAAATAAGATTTTAATTTAAAAGTTTTTTAAATTAAATAGTTTATAAGACTTAAATTTAAGAGATAAAAAAATTAAAATAAAAAATAAAAAGAGTTTTATTCTATTTAAATATCGTATTTAAAAGTATTAATAAAATATTATATACTATATAAATATATATATTATTAGAATAAAAATATCGTTAGAATAAAAATAGATTATATATATTATAAATAAGATAAATAGTAATAAAAAGAAGACTCTATTAATTAGCTTAAGTATCTACTTATTAAAATCTTTATTAAGATATTTATTTAATAATATACTTCTATTATAATATAATAATATATAAGTCTTTAATAGAGATATCTACTATATTAAATCTCTAGAGAGCGACTATAGTATCGTAATATTAACTACTATAAATAGACTATAATAGTAGACGTTTTAAATAAGTAGTAGTAATAGCTATGATAGTCATGGTAGTTTTATTTAGATTTTGATTTTGGTGGCGCAAAAAAAATAAAAAGTAAAAAGTGTTTGGTTCTATTCGAACACCGTAGCTGGGGGGGTATTCAGCTTTCAGTGCCTCGGCCGTACAACTAGGGCTGTTTGGGTTACGTGTTCCTTGTCGCTAGAAAAGTATCTATTGATTACTGTGTGGTCAGATAACTGCAGCAGCGTAGCTAAGGGACCCAATTAGAACTAATACCAAATATAGATGTTCTGGAAATCGTCGCAGCCTTCTTTGATTCCTACCTTAGAGCAGAACTCGCTATATCTTTCTCATTTCAATGGCAGATAGCCGCTCGGGAATACTTGTCAGTGTGTCAGGCCATCTTCTCCCTTATAATCGCCAGTTCCCTCCCCTTCCTCCGTCTTTACTATCCAAATATCCTGTATCCACATCACGTTTTAGTACATCATTAAGCCCACATCCACGCCATAATCATGTCACAGCTTTTTCGCCTTCTTAAATCTACCCGTTATCCCTTTGTCTTGTACTTAGGAGGGGCAGTAGTACTGTCAGATAATCCTTTCCACCAAGTTTTCAGCCTTGCGCTCTCCTTGCTTTCGTATCTGACCGTGGAATTGTTTCGTCCGCCTGTCTCCGCTTCTAAGACTCCTCTTATCATCTGCACTCTGGCCATCTCTGCAATATGCATCGCTCTATCTCCTCTTCAACTTCTTCTTCATACGAAATCAATCGGCCCAAAAAGGAAAGCTTTGGACATCCTCAATCCGGAAAATGAAGGAGATTACGACATTGAGTTCGTGCTGCCTTCCCATTGACTCAATACTTATTTTATTAATCTTGCCTTCTCGTCTTTAGTATTCTTGCCGTTCATGGTCTTGCATCGAACGCGGAAACAACATGGACGTCCCGCAACGTATCACTCAGTAACAACAACACAGAGAAAAGTCACCAGACCATGTGGCTCCGGGACATGCTAGCAAAGGAAAAAGATTTAAACGCTCGTGTTATGACTTTCAATCATAATACATCATGGGAAGCGTATGCACTCAACAAGTCTTTGCGGGATCATGGAAATGATCTACTACAAGCGCTCCGAACTGCTCGTCATGACGGGAAGGTAAGGCACGACAATTTAGAATCGTTATCATAAATGTGCTAATGGGCACTTACGCTGCTTAGGCAAAGAGTCGGCCTATCATCTTCATCGGTCATAGCTTCGGAGGCTTGATCATCAAGCAGGTAAGGCTTGAACGTCCCAATTGTATCAGCGTCTTACTTATATATCTAGGCTTTGGTAAATGCAGACCCCGCCGACAACTTTGGCTTTAATGTTCGCGATAAAGCGTATGGCTTTATTTTCCTTGGAACACCACATAAAGGCGCGAGCATCGCCCCTGCAGGAAGGATATTGTCTCTTTTCGGTTCTTGGAAAGGTTCAAGCACCAGTCTGCTTGAGTATCTTAAGCCTGGGTCCCAAATCAACAATGGCCTACACCAGGCTTTCTTGACTTACCTGGATCGAAAGATAAAAAGAACTGTGTGCGTTTACGAAGCCGTAAAACAAGCATTTTATCGCATGCCGATCATACATGTGAGCGCTATAGTTCTATCTTTAATCTTGGGGTGATACTCATACTTCTAATCTTCAGGTCGTTGACAGATCCTCTGCAGTCATAGATCAGTCTATCGAGATAGGTTTTGAGAAAGATCATCGTAATATGCAAAGATTTTCCGATCCGGAGGATGAAGATTATAAGAAGATCCTTGGCTATATCAAAGATTGGGCGAAAGAAGCCGATGGTAAGTGTCGGTGATGACGGCAATACTATCCTACATCGAACTTGCCTGATTTTGGTTTACGATTAAGCTAACGTGTTTTCTATCAGCACAATTGCGGGACAAGACTCAGGATGAGCAAGGTCAGATTTCACGGTATGGATACGCGGTTTCCGCTGTATGCTAACTCTGAGAATAGATTGCCTCAGGTCCCTGTCCTTTCAGGATATGGAACAGCGACCAAAACTTGCAGCAGGCGCAACCACCAAAACATGTGCGTGGCTGTTGAAACATGAGAACTATACAAGTTGGCTCGCTCAGCCTCACCCAGTGCTCTGTATTGTGGGAAAGCCCGGGACAGGGAAGTCGACGCTACTCAATTACGCTTTTGAGAAAGCTCGTGATGAAGCGCAGCACAGCAACGATGTCATAGCTTCCTTCTTCTTCTTCGATCGAGGTAGTGACCTTCGAAAGAGCTCCTGTGGCCTGTTCCGCTCGCTTTTGCACCAGCTTCTAAATAAAGACCCCGACATGCTGCCCGCTTTCAAAAAAACGGGATCTGACCATGAATGGGCAGAGAAAGAGCTACAAACATTGCTAAAAGAATGGATTCTCAGTCCCTCCAGAAATCGCCCGATCCGGATTTACGTGGATGCGCTCGACGAAGCCGGTCGAGACGATGCTGCAAAGTTAATGAAATACTTCGAGGAGCTGACTAAACCGCCGTCTCCCGCCGGAGCCAGTTTCCAAATATGCTTCTCTTGTCGGCATTACCCCGTTGTGGTACCGAAGGATGCTCTGAAAATCAGCGTTGAAGAAGAAAACAATGAAGATATAGCAACCTATGTCCAGGAAAATCTGAAGGATCACTTTTCGGACGCAAACAAGGCGGAGCTTGAGAGAGAGATCATAGGAAAAGCCTCAAGCATTTTTCAATGGGTTGTTCTTGTTATCCCAATCATCATCAAATCGCAACAGGATGGTGAAAACGTAAGAAAAATCCGCCAAGAGATCGAGAAGATACCGAGCGAGTTGAGTGATCTTTACGAACATATTCTGTCTCCGATCAAAGAGCAAAAGCAAAAGGGAGCAGTGCAACTGATGCAATGGGTATGCTTCGCTGAAAGGTCTCTATCGTTAGAGGAATTGCGCTTTGCAATGGTGGTGGATGTTACCAACGAACTCAAGTCACTTCAAGACTACAAGGACTCGGTGGACTTTGCAGAGACAGATGAACAGATGAGACTCAGAGTGACGAGTTACTCTGGGGGATTGGCTGAAACCGTCAAGGTTGCGAATAAACACATCGTGCAGTTCATTCATCAATCCGTCAAGGACTACCTCATTGAGGGCGGACTGCAAAAGCTTGACACCTCCTTCTTTCATGATGTCAACGGCTATCTCCGTCGAGGAGGACTGCCGAGTCTTGACGAATCTTTGTCTAATGATGTGGTCGGCCTAGCGCATTTCCGGATATCAAGGTCATGTGTCAAGTACGTGACCTTGGAGGAAGTGCTCGGCGATGTTGAACGCTACGACCGTCCAGAAGCCCGGAGAGGAGCCGGAGAGGTCCATAGACGCTTCCCTTTCCTAAGGTACGCAAACAAATGGACTTCACATGCTGAAATTGTGGAGAAACAGCGAATACCTCAAATTGACCTGCTCGACCTTTTTCGATGGCCGTCAAAAGATACTATAGAGTCCTGGGTTCAATTTATGCATGTAGACGAATATTTGTATACAAACTTCCATGAAAGATCACCCGGGGCACGAACGTCTTTGGGCGTATTTTCGCGATATGGCCTCTTAAGTGTCGTGAAAGCAATGATTAAGAGAGACGGTCTCGAAATTGACTCGAAAGAGGTGTTTGGAAGAACGCCATTATTGCTGGCGGCACAATGGGGGCACGAAGATGTGGTTCGATTGTTGATTGAGAAAGGTGCCGACATTGACTCGAAGGATCGTAGGGGACGAACATCATTATCCGAAGCGGCAGGTGAGGGACGCGAAGATATGGTTCGATTGTTGATTGAGAAAGGTGCCGACATTGACTCGAAGGATCATGGGGGACAAACATCATTATCCGAAGCGGCAGGTGAGAGACGCGAAGATATGGTTCGATTGTTGATTGAGAAAGGTGCCGACATTGACTCGAAGGATGTGATGGAAGTAACACCATTACTCAGGGCGGTAAAATGGGGGCACAAAGATATGATTCGATTGTTGATTGAGTTAGGTGCCGACATTAAATCGAAGGACCGTTATGGACGAACACTATTATTCGAGGCGAGACGTCAGGGGCACGAAAATGTGGTTTCGTTGTTGATTGAGAAAGGCGGTATCGATATTGACTCGAAAGAGAGCTAAACTTACTCGAATCAGTATATTGTTGTCAAAGCACTTCTTCAAGATTTGGTCATTTCAAGTACTTGCTCTCAAGCCGGTGAACCTTGTATTTTATCCCATTACATCGTCGATTAGATTATTACAAAATCGCCGTTTTGACATTATTCTGCTGTCAGTCAGACAGAGAGAGAGAAATGAGCGTCAATCAGCTTGGCCGAAACAGGGCGCGCGGCGACCTTGTGTGAGAAGAACGCTTGGATATTATGTAGATCATCCCCCAGGACGCGAAGGAGGTAGATGGAGATTCACGGGAAATTGATATCGCTGAGCGCGGCAAAACCCGTCGCTCAAGACTGGATCCTTCAAGGCTATGTCTTCCAAACCTACAGTCGCGGTCTCAGCGACGTCATCAGGCCTCTTCTCCTGTTATTATCTTTACCCGTTTTTTTACTTGAATTCGCGGAGACTCGATGGAGCCGTGAGGGCCAAGTCGCTCTCTTTTCAGCAGCGTCGGTCACGTGGAAAATATACTCCAGACCGCGGGGGCAACATTGACCGAATGAGTAGAAGCACGAGTGGTCCCGCTGCATTGAATTTTGAAAACCCACATCTGACTCCAATTTTGGATCCCCTTTCGACTCCAATATTGGACCCTCTTCTGACTCCAATCCTAGACTCCCCCCGAACTCCAATTCTGGACCTCCTCCCAACTCTAACTCCGGTCCACCTTCTCTATCCTTAATTCTGATCCTCAAGAGGAACAATTTTGGTCCTCCAACTTCATTAGATCCGTCCAAATAATAGCCTGAAAAGCGCTCTGACACGGCCGATGATTAAATCGATAAGAACATATTTATTCTGTGCATACAAACGATGTATATAAAAGACTTTGAAGCAATCTTGCATAGAAGATATAGAGACGTTAACTATACGACTCAAAGAAGTAAGTAATAAGAGAAGCATATAGCATTCGTTTCCCTACTTGCATCGCCCTCGTTATACCCTCCATAACTCAAGATGGGGCCCTTCAATCGACTCGCCGAATTTTGGACAGCGCGTCTCTTTTATTCGCCGATGTCGGCCGTCATGAGTGAGGACACACCGCTTGGAACAGAGCAAGCGATTGCGGGGTGTAGGATAGGATATGCCGCACTGGCATTTTTGCTCGCAGAACCATTTGCAGGAATGAACACAAGGGGCGTAAAGTTCGCGGCAGAGGGGAGCCGAGTGAGGATAGCAAGTGGGAAAGTAGACGTGGAGACGGACAGATATAAAAATCAATAGTGCCGTGGTCAGAAGCGAAAGCAGTCAGTGCAAGATGTCAGGCTCGACAAGAACAAGTGTGTGTGTAATTCTTACATCGGAGGGGTGCTATCTGGAGTGCCCCAAAAATACGAAATGCGCTACACGAAAAATTGTAAATGAAAAAGATAAACAGTCGCCTCGATCCTGCTAGATCTGCCTTTTGTCCTCTCAATTGCAGTTGATAGAGTAATGTATTCATTTGCCTCAGAGTACCAGTTCCTTTATACAGTCGCTCGGGGGAGTCCATGTCATGAGCATTCCTCCCCAGAGTGATGTGCCTTTTGATGATGTCTATGGTGATTCAGGGGGTGTTTCGATCGCGTTGTTGGGCCGTGAGTCGCGTTCGGGGTTGTGCGGGTTCATATTCGCTGTCCCACCAAAGAACGATTCCCGGGAAGACCGCTGTCGAATTGAGAATCTGGAGACCTCAGACCCTACTGTCTAAGGGCTCCAGAGGGGCGTTGCCGAGCCTGGCTATCTTGTGGATCCATCGGAAAGCCGGCAGAAGACCTATATCTTCCACGAAGTTCTCGTCGTCGATAGGTCTCATGGGAGTTCCGTTTCCGTCCGCATCTCTAGATGAAAACAGGTAGCCGGCAGCAGATAGAAGGTGCTGCCGAAGGCTTCCCCGACTAAACCTTATATAGGTTAGTGGTTTATCGAATCGTTCCCATCTTTCTTCTAATGCCTATTCTCGAAATCATATTCATAATCCTAAAGAGATTCGTATTCTATCTTTATTTCTATTATTTCTAAAACTTAAAAGTCTCTTATAAGAAGCTTTTAATTATTCATTTCAATTATTCGTTTTAATTAATTATTTCTTACTCTTATTAAGAGATTTCTTATATATATAATTTAAAACTTATTATAGTTTAACGAGTAAAGGCCTATGAATTAAATTCATAATTACTTTTTTTAATTAGAGCTATCGAGTAAATTTAATAAGCGAACTTTTAATAGACGACATTTAAATTCGTTGCCTTTAAACATTTATAAGACTAAATTTAGTAATTTTTTTTATTATCTTAAAGCCCACATTTCGTTCTAAAGATTTAAAATAAAATCTCAAAATTTTAATAGAAAATAAAAAAGTTATTCTAAAATTAAATAATGTATATCTATTTTTTAAGTAGGGCTATCCGACTATCCGCGATCTTTAATAAGCGAACTTTGATAAGCGATATTTAAATTCCTTACCCTTTAATAATTATAAGACTAAATTTTAAAATTCTTAAAATTTAAAAAGCATCAATAGCGCTTTAAAATTTAAAAAAAAAATCTAAAATTTTAATAGAAAATAAAAAAGTTATTCTATATATTAATAATATACATCTATTTTTTTAATAAGAAAGATACGAAAGGGCGAGATTTTGATAATTACGAATATTAATTTATTAATTTATAATATCTAATTAAAAAGCGTAGATCTAACGAATTAATAATTAATTATATATATAAATTCAAGGTTTTCTAATTTAATTCTATCTTATTCTTTTATATATATTAATAATATTAAGATTTATAAATTAAAGAATATATTTTATAATTTAAATTAATTCTTTTAAATTTAATATTAATATTTCTAAAAGTATATAAAGAAAGTAAATCTTTTCTCTATTAAATTAGATAATAATATATTTATAAATCTTAAAGAGAGTAATATTATAGCGCTTTATATTAATAATATTCTAATTATTAACTTTAATAAAGTTAAAATTTAATAAATTAGAAAAAACTTAATATAAAGTTTTATATATTAAATTTAGAATTATATATTTACTACTTAAATATATTTATTATAAATTATTATTATTATAATAATATTCTTTATTTAAAATAAGAGATTTATATTATTTCATTTTTAAATTATTTTAATTTTAATATCTTTTAAAATTAATTATAAATTAACTCTTATTAAAAAAAGCTATATCGCTTTAAAAAAAATAAGAAAACTATTAATTTATAATAAGATCTCTTACGAGTAAAGGCCTATAAATTAAATTTATAATTTTTTTTTTAATTAAGACTATCGAGTAAATTTTAATAAGCGATCTTTAGTAAGCGATATCTAAATTTCTTATCTTTAAATATCTATAAGACTAAATTTAGTAATTTTATTTTTCTCTAAAAGCCTATATCTTATTCTATAATTTAAAAAAAAATTTAAAATTTTAATAGAAAATTAAAAAGTTATTCTAAAATTAAATAATATATATCTATTTTTTAATTAAGGCTATTCGGTTATTAAGCGAACTTTAATAAGCGAACTTTAATAAGCGAACTTTAATAAGTAATATTTAAATTCCTTACGCTTTAATAATTAAAAGACTAAATTTAGATATTCTATTTCTATTTAAAAGCCTATATTTCGTTCTATAATTTAAAAAAAAAATTAAAATTTTAATAGAAAATAGTAAAGTTATTAAAGAATTAAAAGTAGAGTAAGATATTTCTAATAATTATAAACGCTAATTTATTTCTTTATAATAATTTAGTTAATTTAATTAAAGAGCGTAGTAACTCTAAATTTATAATTAGCTATATATATAAATTTTAAAATTTAACATTTAACTCTATTTTATTCTTTTATATATATTAATATATATTATACTCGATATTTATTTAAATATTAATATATATAAAAGAATAAAATAGAATTAAGTTTAATAATCTTAAATTTATATATATAATTAATTATAAATTTAAGTTCGCTACGCTTTTTAATTAAATCGACTAATTTATTATAAATAAATAAGTAAAAACCTATGAATTAAATTTATAAAGTTGAATTTTTCTAAGTTAAATCGAATTTTAGTCTTAGCTCTAAGTTAAATCGAACTCTAATCGCTTACTATACGTTTTTAATCTATATATAAATATATATATATAAAGAGAGACGCGCTAAGATTTAATTAGAAAGGTATATTAAGTATAGAAGAATTAATTTATAATAATTATCTATAAAAAATAGAGAAAGATTATATTCTTATAGTAAGAAGTATCGAAATATCGAAAAGAAATAAAGATAATATATTAATTAGTAATGTAAATTTTATATTATCTTCTATCATAGTAAAATCTTTCGAATAATAAAATAGCTATTAGAGTAAGATATCGAACGATTTTAATTCGTTTAAATATATATTATTCGATATTTCTTTTATAGAGATTTAATTAACTATAATTATTATAATAGATTTTTCTCTTATAACGTTATTATAGTAATATATTATATTAATATAATAGAGATAATAGATTAAGTTATAATAATATTCTTCGCTTATTAAATAATAATTTAATATAAAATTATAGAGAGTATATAACGTGTAATCTTAAAGAGCTAAGTTATATTCTTAATAATATATTATTTTATTTTCCGCTTATTTTTTAGTATTCTTCGTAATATTCTTTATAATATTCTTCGTATTTTTAGTAGTCTTCGTATTTATCTATTATAATTTCTTCTCTTACGATATTTCTTTTATAGAGATCTAATTAACTATAATTATCGTAATAGATTTTTCTCTTATAATATTATTATAATAATATATTATATTAATATAATAGAGATAATAAATTAAGTTATAGTAGTATTCTTCTACTTATTAAATAATAATTTAATATAAAATCGTAAAGAGTATATAACGTAGAATTTTAAAGAGCTAAATCGTATTTTTAATATTAAAAGTCTTATTATTACTTAATTTCTTCGT